CCTTCACAAATCTGAAGAAAAATGTTTTTCATTCTTGAATACTATAACCAGCCAATTTGTTAATTAAATGTGAAGGTAGAGTAAAGGCATTTTCTCAAGAAACTAACCTTTCTCTGGAAGGTTCTATGTTTTCTTGCTGTGGAGCCTTTACTTATACTGACTGTTATATACATTGTATTCCAGGGTCTGGGAGGCATTTCTCACTTCATATCCCCCTTTGTAACTTCAAGAGCCAAACTTAATCTCTCCATCCTGTAAGGCAGCATTCCTCCACCTTTTTGGCACCAAGGAAAACAGTTTTTCCATGGACTGGGGTCTGGGGATGGTTTCGGGATGAGTCAAGCACATTACATTGATTGTGCATTTTATTTCTGTTATTATTACATTGTAAAATATAATGAAACAATTCTACAACTTACCATGACGTAGAATCCGTGGGACCCTAAGCTTGTTTTCCTGCAACTAGATGGTCCCATTTAGGGGCAATGGGAAACAGTGACAGATCGTCAGGCATTAGATTCTCATGAGGAGTGCGCAACCTCGATCCCTCTCATGCACAGCTCACAAAAGGGTTTGCACTCCTGTGAGAATCTAATGCTGCCATTGATCTGACGGGAGGTGGAGCTCAGGTGGTTATGTGAGCAGTGGGGAGTGGCTGTAAATATAGATGAAACTTCCTTTCTGGATGCTGCTGTTCACCTCCTGCTGTGTAGCCTGGTTCCTAACAGAACACGGACCCCTACTGTGAGGTCTACTTTTAAGCCACCACCTCCTCAAAGAAGGATTTTCTGTTCCTGCCAGTAGGATGCAGTCTAAACCTGGGTGCTCATAGACCTCTCTAACCCTCCCTTCCCCACAATGTATTGTATTCCACCTTTTATGACCACGACTTTCTCCTGAAACAATGGAAGCTTCTCACATGCAAAAGACCTGCCTATTTCTTCTTTGTGGCTCTGGCCTTGCAGTCCCTTCTACTCACCAAATGGGTCTCACATTTTCTTTAATATAGGAGATACTCAATGATAAAAGAACAATGGACTCAAGATTGAAGGTTATTCTATTCGGCTAAGAAGATCACATTGAGTCCATCGTTGCTTTTTTTGTTTTTTGTTTGTTTTTGACAGAGTCTGGCTCTGTTGCCCATGTGAGAGCAAGAGATCTCAGCTCACTGCAACCTCTCCCTCCCAGTGTCAAGTGATTCTACTGCCTCAGCCTCCCAAGTAGCTGGGATTACAGGCATGTGCCAACAAACCCAGCTAATTTTTGTATTTTTAGTAGAGATGGGGTTTCACCATGTTGCCCAAGATGGTCTCAAACTCCTGACCTCAGGTGATCCACTTGCCTTGGCCTCCCAAAGTGCTGGGATTACAGGCATGAGCCATCATGCCCGGCTGAATCTATCTTATCTCTGCTTCAATTCCTTCTACATCCAGATTTCCCAACTCAGAGTCTCTGCATATAGGGCAGAAGACAGCTTTTTTTTGAGAATTAAAGGAGAAAAGAAGAAAATTATTATTTCAATTAAAAAGAGATGATCAGGTGACCCAGCAATTTCACTCCAAAGTACATACATATGTGAAATGAAAACATATGCCCACACACACAGAAAATATATACAGGAATGTTCATACTAGCATTATGCACAATACCTAAACAGTGGAAACAACCGAGATGTCCAAAGGCAGCCACCCACAAAAGACCACCTATTGTAAGATTCCATTTATATGCAATATCCACAATAGACGAATCTGTAGAAACAAAAGCTGAATAGTGGTTCTAGGCCTGGGGACGGGGGTGGTTGGGGAAAAAGGAGAGTGACTGCTGATAGGCTTGGAATGTATGGGGCAATGAGAATGGTCTACAACTGATTATAGTGATGGTTGAACACCTCTGAACATACTAAAAACCATTGAATTATACACTTCAAATGGGTGAATTATATCTCAATCAAGTTGTTTTCAAAGAGAAGATCAACATGGGAATAAATTAGATTCATATATGACTTGTCTTTAAGGTAATATCAGAGAGCACAAACTGAAAAACCAGGATTTGCCAAGTATGCCATAACTGCACAACTTCAAAACACACATTGGGAACCAGAAAACACCACGTTAAAAAACAATGTCATGTCAGTTGGTATGTATTGGCCTCAAAATTAACATCTAATCTGTTCACTGCAGAGTTTAGTCATTAAGAAAAGCCTTAACAAAGTGGTAGCGGAGAGTATTAGGTTTATTGACAGCACAGAGTACTTCGTTATATAACCTTTTGCAGGTCACTTACATTTTAAAAGACAGTATCTCTAGTCTCACTTCTTGCTAATCACGTTCTTTCATAGAGGTATTATTAGGCAATTAGTGGATAATGTGTTTGTATTTATACAGGACCAGGTCTGCTAAGGTCATCGGCACAGACTTATTTATTACATGTGATCTGTAAGGTGAGTAAAAGCACTGACTTGTAAAGTCCTTCTGTTTGAGAGATGCTTTGATGGTTATAAAGTAAATGTAGAAAATGTCTGATTCTTCCAAAATGGCTGTGCAAAGTGTTTTTAACTATTTAAAGTTAAATAGCGTGAGTTGTTATGTTTTTAAACTTTAAGGCTTCATTTTGAAGGTTTCATAAAGGCACAATGATATTTTGGCAAAGAATGAGGCTATTTTAATAGATAAAAGTAAAAATTTATAGAGGGAGCTAGCACTCTACAATCCCTATTTTGCATTATTTCTTCAAGAATATTGGGATTAATAAACCAGACCTACCAAACCATGATTTTAATATAAAGGAAAATTCAATCCTCATCTTTGTATTTTTCAGACACATTTAAATTCTCACTTACCCTCATGTATGTCATTTGAATACATCAAAGGTTTAAGATATTGACCTAATTTTAAAGAAAAAATATAAACTACTTAAAAAAATTTTTGTGGGTACATAGATGTATATATTTATGAGGTAGATGAGATGGTTTGATACAGGCATGCAATATGAAATAAGCATACCATGGAGAATGTGGTATCCATCCCCTGAAGCATTTATCCTGTGAGCTACAAACAGTCCAATTACATTCTTTATTTAAAAATATACAATTAAGTTATTATTGACTTTAGTCACCCTATTGTGCTATCATATAGGTTTAATTCATTCGTTCTATTTTTTTTTTTGGTACCCATTAACCATTCCTATCTCACCCATTAAATAAACTATCTGTCATTAAACACAGGAAATAGTTTTTCAATTATTTTGCCTCTGTTTTAAAGTCTCTTCATTTTCTTTTGTCTTCTACATCATTCCTAACTATCAACTTTTTAGGCAGTAGAACAAGTAACATGACCCTGGTTTGATTTAGGAGCAACATTTCGATCCATGCTTGGTTGAAATATATTTTAAAAGGTCTTTGCAGCAGTGTCATTTAACTCATGACGTAGCCACAGAGTCAGGAACAAAAATGCCCCAATTAGATAACAATTGAGAACCAAACCTACAGTCTATTGGGCTGTATCATGATGGGACATGAGCCCGAGAAACTGTTCAATTTTGGTATGTGAAACTTACATGAATAAATTAGCCACAAATAGAACAATCTTATTTTCAGAATACAAATTGTAGTTTTTTCTTACTTTTCTTTACACACAATGCAAAATATAGAATATAGAATTCAGACTCTCAGCTGCAACCTATATTAACTACAGTGCTGACTGTCATACATTATTTAATGTTCTTCATTATTTCATTTCAACTTCACAATGTTCTAAGTGGCTAACATTGGTAGAGCAGATTCGTTGTTGGCAACTGGGCCACATCCAGTTTTACCAGTTTCCACCATCACAAAACCCTCCCTGCATCTGCTATTTATGAACTGCCTTTCAGAGAAGACTGTCAGTCCTGGAGAAAATTTCCCTGCCAGTTGAGGTAAGAACATCATTCTGATATACAGAAGTACTGCTTTTTAGAAGTCAAGGTCTCCTGGCAGTTCCTCAGTAGACTAGGATGGCAGCCGCGCTAGAGGTCATGAATAATGTATTACATAAGGCCTGTCCATGCATTCAAACCAGAATCTCCTAACCACAATTCCCATAGCAACACACATAGATTCTACTCATCTCAGAGATGAAGCAGCCAGCAGAAATGCTATCCTGGTATTTCTAGCACGATCAACAAGGCACTTAGCCTTTTTCAAAACAAGTTTTTCAAAGGAAAATCAACAACCATGTTAAAATAGGTTCATTGGGAAGCGACTGAGTATCCCAAAAACCAAGCTACCTTCAACTCGAACAATCTATGCCTTAGAAATCGCCACTATTCCAAGGACAGCATGGGAAAAAGAATTCAAATCGTTGCAATGAGTTAAATGAGACAAGACCTGAGATAAATCCTGGAACTATCTATTTCATAGCTGCTTTGCAGTCTCCCTTCCATATATACACACTTTATCCTGCAGAAGAACATGTTCTAAGAGAAGAAACTTCTAAAAATCAATAAAATCCTCTGTTGCTCTTTGAAAAGCATAATGTAATCAATTTTGAAAGTAAGAGGATACTAATATAAAACACCTATGAAGTAAAATTCAGGGGAAAAACTGTTCAAGTCTAAGAAAATAAACAATAGCTTGAAGTCAGTCTGTTTTTTTTTTTTTTTTTTTTTTTTTCTTAACAGAGATATAATTTACTGGGGAAATGAAGTAAAATGTGTTGATATTAGGTGCCGTTTTTCCTCTTTGCACATTCAGGGATCCTTTCGTATGTGTCCAAATAAGCCATCCACCCACAGAAACGAGTTGCTTGGATTATAAAACAACATAGACGACCAGTCTTACACAACACACTTCCCTTTTCTACTAAGGGAAGAAACTAGGCTCCATTTCTTGTACCTTTCTAAAACCCGACGATGAAATGCTCTAATAGATCAAACAAGCTTTAGGGGAAACTTCCACAGGTGGTCTATCAGGGGCACAGCACAACTTGCAAAGAAAGATCTTGGCAGGCAGGAAATGATTTTACCTTTGCTTTTTCCAACTGTGCCTGGGCCTGCCGCTCCGCTTCTCTGCGCACTGCTTCCCGGTCCTCCTCCAGAGATACATCGGAATCGGATGGACGGCTAGTGTAGGAGTCTGCCGAACCCTGGAGAGGAAAATGTACATTTTAAAGTAGATTCAATCTATGATGTTTGCATTGGAAAAGTCTCATCGACACAGCAGTTAGCTTCCCGGATTGTGCTATACGTTCCTGAAAAGAGGAGAAAATAATTCATTTTGCAGCAACCTATCTAGAAAACCATGCTCTGATTTGCAGACATTCAATAGAATAGTTGTGTCTACTGAGTTGCCATTCCTTCCTAAGCTTTATATTCCAAAAAACCACCCTTCCTGGAAGCCAGAACAAGTTGCTTTTATAATTAAACAGCTTGATGGTGCAGTGCAGAACTGAAGGACAACGATGGGTTTCAAGGATAGCTTCAAGAACAATCTACATGCTAAAGCAGGTATTTAAAACTAGAAAGACATTAAGCCTAACAAAAACATGAAAGAAAGTCTGAGTTATCAACTTGAACTCTCCCAAATGTCACTACCATGACATGATTCCCACTTTAATCTGAAGAATCCTTGTTTACCTTTTTATACACCTGCTGTTTTCTCTGATAAAACTGTAAGATACTAGCAGCTAACTTCACTCCATCTTCCAGCAACACATTTTAAAATACCTTTACCTAGATTTAATAAAAAGCCGTCTACAGAAAACACCTGCCTGGGATAGCTCATCTGGCAATTAATCATAACACAGGGAAAGGAGCTCAAAAAACGAGATGAATCTCCCTAGCTTCCCTCTCTTGCAATCTTGATCCGATTAACCAAATCAAACCACCCTCTCTACCTGCACTCACTGCAACAACAGAAAAGCAGAACACAATAACCTCTCCCCCCAAACGAAAGCCCTTGCGCTTACACAGATATCAGAATTCTTCAGCCTTCCTCCCTTGGCTCTTTTCAGAAGCCTGATCCAGGTGGCCTTCATGAGCCAGACAGCGCCTTTATCGTCCGCAGCTGCAGCCCCGGGCACAGGTTCTCAGTGCGCGCTGAGCCCCGGAGAACCCCAGCTCCTTTCCTATCCATGCTCTGGGCAAGCCCCTCTGCTCCGTCCCTTTCTGCCTCCGGGGCTTTCACTCCCTGCCCCAGAGGACTCCCATCCAGGGAAATTCTTATTTTCCCTTTCCAGGAGGGGCTGAAAACACACACTCGAGTGCTTTATATTTCTTTAAAAATAAAGAAGACTTCAAGTGCATTCAGAAGCCGGGCATCAACTCGTTCTAAACTTAATGCATCTCATAACCCTAAACATTCTCTTCCCTGCGCTCAAATTGTTAAAGGAAATTAGTTGTAAAAGAATCGCAGGAAAAAAAAAAAACTAGTGCAAAAACGTATGCAGTGACATTTGCAAGTGCAAAGTTCAAGCCTTATCTTTGGAGATCTCGAGGGGAAGGGGGGAGGCGGAGGGAGGAGGACGCACTCCCACACTGGGCATGCTCCATATGTCGCCTTTTTACGCAGATGCTCACATCACACTGTTAGTCTATGTCAAATTGCCATTTTACATCCGAAGTGTAAACAGCTGGAAAGGTCTCTTCGGTTCTATAGTAACCGGGCTCGTGGTATGTGTGTCTGTTTCTGTTTCAGATGAAACCTTCTCTCAAAAACAAAGCATAAGATCGTTTCCTTTAATAATCCCTTTCCATTACCTGCTCCAGAAACTGTGTCCTATGCTGAAAGCAGGTTCACAGGTAGTAAATATCATATGCAATATTGCATAGCAAAAATCAAATAATGCTCATCAGTCATAATATAACACAGTTCTTTATTGCTTGTGACTTTCCAAACAAGATGCGAGAGAGAGACGTGGCCATTTAATTAGGACATGAAAGTAATCACAGCTCTATAAAGCAATGAGTTTAACGGAGCTCAAAATGACTTCGAACTGCTTCTCCAACTGAGAAACTACCATTTGAAATAAAGCCACTGGCATAAACAGCAATGTGAATTGTTATAACCATACTTACAAAGAAATTTCAAAGCTTGGTTAATTTATTAGTTGGAGTTAAAATTCACAGAATAATTGAGTCCCAACTCTGCTTGTAGATGAGGGGAGTGAGGCTGAAGAAGGAAAGACACTAAAGTTATTAATTTCCTGTACTAATGAAATTGCATTTTCAAAGTTTACTTGTAAAGAAATACACTTTGTTTTCTTGACATAAACAAAATGCTATCACTGTAGTCTAAACTGCATTTGTTTGAGGGTGGTGGGAGAAGATTTTGTACAAATAAAAATGAAAAAAAAAAGTGTTCTTAAGAATACTTAAGAACCACGGCTGGGTGCAATGGCTCACGACTGTAATCCTAGCACTTTGGGAGGCCGAAGTGGGAGGACTGCTTGAGCCCATGAGTTCGAGACCAGCCTGGGCAACATAGAGAGACCCCCCATCTCAAAAAATCTTCCTCCCTCCCCACTTGGCACTCTGCACTAATATAATCTTCAAGAGCCAAATGCTAGAAACACATAGAATAGGGGTTTCAGAATGAAAGTTAGTGATTAATTGTACCTCCATTGTGGTATCTTGATGTAAATTAACAGATCACCTATTGCTATGATGTGAATGTAAAATGCGTGGCGGGCAAATTTACAAAGGAGAAATGAGTGTGTCAACACAGACACACCTGGTAGGGGATTCCTGATCTTCCTAGAGGACTTCTTACAGTAATAGTAGCACAGTAGAAAATTACCAGGAAGCATAATTATACTCCATAAGGGACCCTTGTTCCCACTGTCACCAGTCTTGCCATGTTAGAGCCAATCACCCCACTACAGGTTCAGGTCACACCTCAATGAAAAGACGAAGCTTCTATCAGTAGGAACCCAGCAATGACAGGAAGTACATAAAGATAGGGTCGCATAACACCCACACATAATTTTGTGCGGTCTCATTCCCTTTTAAATATAATATGATACAAAAAGTCCTTTGCTAATATTCAGATGGAGCTTTTACATTGCATAGTCACTTTGAGACCTGTTTCCAGGTTTAAATAGCAGTTAAAAACAAAAATCTCTTCAATGACTTTTGGCAATGCCTTGACTATTTTATAATACAGGATGTATTGATCTTTAGAGTAGTTCGCAGAAGCTTAGAAAGAGCCGGATTAGTTTCATTCCTTGTATCTCTGATAGTACATACTTTCACACACAAACAATTTTTTTTTTTTTTTTTTTGAGTCAAGGTCTCATTGTCACCCAGGCTTGATAGAGTGCAGTGGTGCAATTATGGCTCACTGCAGCCTTGACCTCCTTGGCAAAAGTGATCCTCCCACTTCAGCCTCCCAAGTGGCTGGGAATATAGGCATGTGCTCCCATTCCTAGCTAATTTTTAAATTATTTTTTGTAGAGATGGGTCTCACTATGTTGCCCAGGCTGACTGGTCTCAAACTCCTGGGCTCAAGCAATCCTCCCCCCTCAGCCTCCCAACGTGTTGGGATTACAGGTGTGAGCCACCTCACCCGGCCTCAAAATATTTTTCATTATAGAAGTTATATGCACCCAGCATTGAAAGAGACACAAATAACCATCCCCTGAAAGTCTCCCATACAAAGACAGCCACAGTCAAATAGTAGCAAGTTTCATTCTCTGGAGCTGTTGCATGTTTGAAAGTCACCCTCCTGACATATGCCTTACAGTTAATCTCCTTTCTTCTGGGAGTGTGGATTTATGCAGTTAGAAGTGATATATCTAATTAAGCTTTTGCCTTTGGAACCATATGGACTTTCTGGGTCATCGTGCCTCAAGTCGTCTTCAGTCGGGAACAGCTGGCGGTCATTTCCATAACTCCAGAATAGGTTCATTACAAGATGTACCCTTGATCTCTACGGCTGTTAACAACGTGATTAGCTGGTCTTTTGCAGTGTTTGTCCTTGCCGGTGCATCACATTTCAGCTACCCAGTGTTCCTTTTCTACATCTTAATACCTGCATTTCTATTTGGACATTTCCAAAAGTGTAACTTGTACTACTATGTACTAATAGTTCCTCCCAGGATCATCACCTTTTATCCTCAGAGCTCTCACTTTGTGGGTTCATTGCTCATAGGAAAATTCCATATCGTTGGATTAATTTATGCTTTTATCTACTCTTCAGTTTCTTTTTCCACTTTTATGTCTAATGTTCACACAAGAAAGCGTTACCCTTTTTTTCTTTTCTTTTCTTTTCTTTTTTTTTTTGAGATAGTCTCACTCCAGCCCAGGCTGGAGTGCAGTGGCTCAATCTCGGCCCACTGTAACCTCTGCCTCCTGGATTCATGTGATTCTCCTGCCTCAGCCTCCCAAGTAGCTGAAATTACAGGCGTGTGACACCACTCCCAGCTAATTTTTGTATTTTCAGTAGAGACACGGTTTTGCCATGTTGGCCAGTCTGGTCTTGAACTCCCAATCTCAGGTTATCTGCCCACCTCGGCCTCCCAAAGTGCTGGGATTACTGGCTTGCGCCACTACGCCTGGCCACCCTTTTTCTTTAATACTTTAAAAAATTTATATAGTTTGCTGTTTTGATGCTATACTCTGCTGTTTCACAGTCATCTATATTTTCAGCATCAGTATTTTGGAGCGTTCTTATATTTTTCTCTTTTAAAGCCCAAAGGATAAGAGTTGTAAGCCTATTTCATAGCGGCATCTTGGATCCTAAATTGTGTCTGTGTCTTCTCCTGCTGCAGGAAATCTTTATATGAAGCCTTAAATCCACATTCTTGAGCAAAATCAACTTTTTATGTATCCAAAAGCCAGTCTGATTCTAGACAAAGTTGTAACTCATCAAAATCCTCAAGATTTTAGACCCCCTCCTCATGCATAGGATGATGCTAACCCAATGGCAAATTCATTGCCTACTGGTCAGGCCCACATCTTTTAAAATAAAGCAAAATGGGACCAGGCATGGTGGCTCACGCCTGTAATCCCAGCACTTTGGGAAGCCAAGGTGGGTGGATAACCTGAGGTCAGGAGTTTGAGACCAGCCTGACCAACATGGTGAAACCCTGTCTCTACTAAAAATACAAAAATTAGCCAGGCGTAGTGTCACACTGTAATCCCAGCT